GTGCGATTACTCAAAATCCGTCTAGCGGTCTCGCCATTTTGGATGTCCCGTTCGTTCATCCTGACGCGCGTGTTAGCGGCGTGACGACGTCGTGGACGCAAGCAGTTAGGTTAGCCGGTGTTCGGGCGATTCTCGCCATTTTCGCGGGTTATGCATTTTTTAATTGAAGACATAAGGTTTATTCGCGTCGCATGCTCTAACATGCTCCAATATGCTCCTAACATAGCTCTTACTCTCTCCAACGTGCTCGTTGAAGTGAGCAAGAGCTATGGTAGGAGCATATTGGAGCATGTTGGAGGTTGGAGCGTGCGATGCGAACAAACCTTAAAACTGAAATAGCCGTGCAAACGGTACGTGTGCGTGTACTGAAGTGCGAACCGTGCCGTTGTGCTCGTCGTGAGCATCGTCGCAATCGTCAAGAGCATCACTCGCAATCGTCAAGCATCGTCGCAATCGTCGCGGACGACGAAGTGAGTGATGCTTCTTGCTTTTATTTAATAAATTAAAAAGATGAAAAATATATTTTGAATAATCTTTATTCAATATATAATATATAATATTTATAAAAAAAATATTATATATTATATATTGAATGAAGTTTATTCAAAATATATTTTTCATCTTTTTAATTTATTATATTATTCTGTATATTATTGCAAATCTGGATGCTCCTTTATACGTCCATTAAAAACGGTTATCGGATATCCATCGGACGTCCACCGGACATGTCAGGGACGTTTTTAGTATGTCCACCAACGTCGCAAACTGATGTCCTATGGACGTCCACTGAATGTCCGAAGGATGTAAAACGAATGTCCCACGGATATCCCAATATCCATAAAGGATGTACTATGGATATCCATCGGATATCCGTGTGCTGTCTGGGATATATATTTCTCGCATAGAACTTATAAGCGCTGAGTAATTAGAATTGAAATTGAGTAGCTCGCTGTTATCTCCAAAGTATTAGGATGCTTACGCACGCATTAAAGTTATGTGTTACCAATGTTTTTTATTTTAATGGTTTTTTAAAATAAAATAAAACTGTATAAAAGTATGATTAAATATATTATATATTTTTTAAGATTGCATACAATGTTTTTTATTTTAATATAGTTCTTCGAAATAAAATAAATTTATGATATATGAAAGTATTATTAATTATAATTTTTTAATGTTGCTTATCACGTTCTGTATTCTTTTCCACTTCGATTGCCTGGGTGAGAAGTTCCATTTCTAAATCTCGTCGTATGTTATACGGCAAGCGCCGTAGAATATCCCCTAGCATGTCACAGAAACTGTGCACTGGATCATGAACTGGCTGGAATTCTTTGAGGTATGACATAAACTCATTTTCAATTTGTGTAATTCCTTCGTTGTCTGTACGTGATCGTTTTGAAACTCGCGATTTGCTGGCAGAATTATTCGCAGAATTATCCGTAGAACTGCTCGGCTGGACGTCGCTGTCATTGCTTTCCTCTCGTGAACGGAGCCTTATAAATGTATCTATGCTACTCTCTACATTTGATGAGTCCGAATTTTCCACCAATTCCATTGGTAGGGAGCTAACCGTTCTACAACACACACGCACAGATTATCAGATTTTATGTTATTATTAATCACATTTTGAAGATAGAGAGAGACACTGAAATTTATTAAGTTAGATATCCCCTTTTGCCAATAAGATAAAAATTTTAATTATGAAATATAGATTGATATTCTCTATAGCGTAATATATGCGGGGCATTCCACGCCAAATCGGACAGTTTCAAAAATTTTTTTTTTTGATTTTCCTAATTTTGTGATATTTTTTAGTACCCATCAAAAAACCCTTTCGGGTAAATTTTGAGATTTTTAGAATCACGGGTCCAAAAGATATCGAATTTTCAAAAAAATCGGTCTTTTTTGGTTTTTTGGTCATAACTTCTTCAAAAATAGTTCTTCCAAATGAAAAGTTTTTTTTTTTGAAATTTTTGTTTTTTTATGCACTTTCCAAAAAAATACGAAAAAATTTTCAAAAATTTTTTGTGTAATTTTTTTGAGTTTTTAACTGTAAATCTTGTTTTTCAAAGTGAGTACATATTTTGATTTTTTCAAAATTTTTGTATAACAAACTACTATCATTTTAACAACTTTTAAGCCCTGTCCGATCGTGGGCCTCCTATAATTACTATTCTTTTTCGAATACAAAGAATAAATAGGCTAATGAGAGTAAACTGGCTGTTATCAATGCGAAATCACAAAAAACAATATATATTCTCGTTAACAATCAAAAAAATGTCATATATAAAATACTATACGTTTCGGCCTAACATCCGGGCCATCTTCAGTAGTAAATTCACATAAAAGACATGGATCTGTAGAAAAGTGGTCACTCTCAACGTCAAACAATCAAATCCACATGGTTGGTAGGTCATGTGCAAACGACAAGACGTTAATCTAAGTAAAAATTAAAAATTAATGACAATGATTGAAGAAAGATGAAAATGAACACTCACCGACAAATCCATGATTAACAAGATAAAGTTGTATTAAAGAAATAAAGGACCACCATCAGACAAACAACAAATTAATATAAAACAAGTCAAAAGATAAAAATCCGAAGATAACATTTTGGTGGTCACGATTTAAATGTAATAATAGTAAACAGAACAACTCTAAGAGGAGCAACGATGTATCGATTTATCTCGCAGTAACCTCGATGAACATAAATATCCAATAAAGTCGTACATACAGTTATAAGCGCATGCGTGTAACCAACGATACA